CTTGGTCCAAAGTAATATAACAATTATAGATTTTGACCTTCCTAAATGCACACCCTCTCTAAATGCACGTTTTTGAAATTTTTTACTATGGTCCCGAGGGTGTGCATTTAGAGAGGTCTGACTGTATATAATTATTCTTACCTCTCCATCACAACCAATCATTTCTCCAAAACTGACTTGTCTACAAATACAATATACCGGTTCATTCGGATCAATAGGCTGTACGAAACCTGATGTAAATGTGTTGGCGCTAGACATAAGTGGATTTTCATATGCGTCAGTGCTTGGATCCATTAGGTCCATGTCAACATTCGTGGTTTGATCAGTAACTGACGACGACCCAGAATTCGAATTTTCTTCTCCATTATGTAATCGCAATTTGAATCCTCTCGAGAAATGACTGTCCGAATTTGATATATAAGTTGATATATTATTCTGAGAACTATTATTATTATTTTAAAAAGAAAAATGAATCTAAAGCAAGCAATTATATATATATATATATATTTGTAAAAAATTTAAACAAACATTTGCTTTCGACGTCTTGCGCTATTACCACTAACGGTTATTGCAGACGGTCGGCGACCTGAGATCATAGAGTCTTCTGTCAGTGAAGTAATATTCAACAATAAATACATTAATGAATAAAAGAATAGTTGCAGCTATCACACACAATAGTACCTTTATTACACCGTGTTGCAGACGAACTTGTCGGATTTGGTAAAAATGGCAATGCTGTATTGATATAACCGTAACGTAAATTCTTTTTAGAAAGACAACAAATCACATACCAGAAATATATCAAAACTTTGTTTAGTATAACTTACGAATTTCTTCAGATTCAGCGCTTGATGAGGGGTAATAAATTTTATTGTAATCAAATGTGTTAGGAAAATTGGATGTTGGCATAGGTGTTACTGCTGAAATTGGCTGATGAACAGGTGTCCTAGTTGCTTGTGATGTTGATATAGTATTCACGTGATGTGTTGATGGCTGAATTGTTATTAGAGGATCTATTCTGGGTGGGCTCGGTGGAGCTGAAGTGGAAGATTCATGAAGATTTTCGCGAAGATTATGCTGCGGAAATAGACTATCAAAATCTTCGTCAAGGCGTTTTATATGTCTTTCGACCTATAAAACAGTGTAATATACATTTAAACGTGCAATACGACATTATAATGTTTTGACTATGCCATATGTTTAAACACACTTACTAGTGCAAGAGCTTTATCAGCAATTTCGATTTTTTCATCCTGTAATTGTGAAGCTCTTATATAATCTTTAATTATCTTATCTTTTAGCATTTCTTCATCTTCGAATTCAGTAATAACGCGAGACACACGACGCCGCTTCTTTTTAACAATATGATCACTAGTCTGTTCATCTTCGTTATGATCTTCAACTTCACTATCCGAGTCATCATCGTCTGTATCTTGATCTTCGTAAACACTTTCCATTACGGAACAATCACTATCTTCTTCAAGTGGAATACCATCATATAGACACCACAGTCTTTTCTTACGGCGTTCTATTCTCTCCGCCAGTTCTTTATACATCATTGCAATATATATCTTGAGTGAAAGAACAGGCATAAAAACACTATGGAAGATTTAAAATTGAATATTGAACATACGCTCAATTTCTTGTTCCTTATTTGTTATCTCAGTAAAATGATAGTGAATTTCGGAAGGAAGGTTATCGATGCCTGAAGTTAATAATCGGAACAACATGTTAGATCAAGTTACAGCAGTTTGGTTCTTATATTAACTTATTCCCGTAAAAAATAGGATCGTACTTCCTAGGTACTGGATCAAATATTCGTTGGCGTCTATTGGCTCCATTTTACCAAAAGTATTTATAGTTTAATTGTTATTATACAAGAGAGCAGAATATAGTACGTCTTTTGAAAAGTATGTATAGATCAAACAAGAATCAAATTATATTTTGCAAGAAATATAAATGTTTAATCTTCGATTCGCTGCTGAAAAAGCACCATAAATTAATGATCGCCAAAAAATGCATCAAATGATTGGCTGTACAAATCTGTAGTACTGAATCACGGACCATCTCGAATCCACAC